ACACCACGTAAGCAGGGTGGGGGTGGAAAGTCAATCCTAGCTTTCAGAGCGTAGTGATCAGACCATGGCACCTTCATCGAAGGAGACATGATCACATCTATACCTATGCCGAAGATCAAATCCAGTGTGTGGCCTGCTTGATGTGTGGGGCCCGAAACACACATCCCCAATACCAGTAGGTTAGGGAACTCCAAGGCCCAGCCGGCCACCGCCTCCAGTAGGCCTGACAGGGTGGCTGCTGGTGCGCTAGGTGGCCAGTACACCAGCCAGACAGCCAAGCTCTCCTCGGAGCCCCACACTAGGCCAACACATTCAATGCCGGGGATCGATGGCGATGGTAGAGCCCTGAAAGGACAATCTTCCCGGATTAATAATGCCACCCCTCCCCCTCGGCCCACAGTCCGCGACTGGTGGAGGACGGAGAAACCCGGGGGTGCCATCTCTCGTAAGGTAACTGTTGCCCCTTTGCGCACCCAGGTCTCCGTCACACAAGCCAGGTCGTCCCCCTGCGAGGTAAAGAAATCTCGCAGGGTGGCAGTTTTGTTGCCTATAGACCTGGCATTGCACAGCACCAGTGACAGAGGTGAGTAATCCTTGCTCACCCTACCCTCGTCCCTCGGGATGAGGCGCAGATTGGAAGGGGTACGAGAATATCCATATCTCGATCCCCTTCGCCTATAACATCTGCCCCCACCGCCATACCTCCCTCGCCCCTCCATGGTAGCAATCCCAAGCCTCATAGTAGCCTCCATTGATGGCAATTAATGTTATTCTTTCGCAGCCTAAAACAATAAAAACAAAAAACAAAAAACCCAGAAAACAATAAAACAATACAAATAAAGGGAAAGGAAAATTTTAAAACATGTTAAAAAGAACTCTGCACCCCTCCGGGTCCTCCTGTGCAGTAGCAGCATCAGTGGCAACAACTGTCCTTGTGAGGCCTCACCCTGGGCCAGATAGTAAGTGGCAGGAGCAGTCCTTGTGAGGCCTGTCAGGCCCCGCCCTGGGCCAGGTGGTAGGTGGCAGGAAGGAGCAGGGCCCTCAGGCACTCACACAGGGGAGTCCTCCTGGGCAGCAGAGCAGTCCTTTTGAGGCTTCAGGCCCCGCCTGAAGCGACTACAGGTACTACAATTTATTCATTATTGTTATAATACATTTTTTTTAAAAACCACAATCGACAACTGGCTTTGCTTTAGCGGCATGTACAGTCTGTCAGCAAATGCTTTTGCTTACTTGACTTGTAGAACAACACATGGAAGACATGAAACATGGCAGTTATTTCATGGGGTTATTATTTTTGTGGGAGGAATAAGCTTTTAATGTTTAATGTTCTTTCATCTTCTTTATTGGAAAAGTCTCGGTGACAAGGACATTCTTGTAGGGTGCAGAATAGGGCAGGGCAAGCTTCTGCGCATCTCATTGACACGTGTGGTGCCTAGAATCATGATGCCCACGCCACGTCAGTGGGGGGGTTGCCTGTATCCATACACACCACCTTGGGCTCTTGAGACGAATGTTGGGATATAAGTGTAATAAGTAAATAATTAAAGTGCTCCTTCTTTGTTGCACCACTGGTTTTGTTGCGTAATCAGTTTTCTTGGTCTAACTAATTTTGCATTGTCACAATCGAATGCCAAAGCCAAGGACCAGTAGCATCCATTGAAAGAGTTCCCTGGAAAACTACCCCAAGGATGTGAGATGATGATACTCCAAGCTGATTGTTGTTGTTTTTGCTCATTTTACTTGCTGTTATTCGGGGCCTCCTTTTTGCTTTTTTTGGCTGGGCCTCTGTGCCTCTCTAACTTGTACCTAGCAGGTAGAAATCCAGCCGGTGGACTCTTTGCGGCCACTATGCCAGGGACCATTACCTGCTGAATTTTTGCCTGCTACCTAACTGTTAAAAGAGACAGAAAGAAGCTGACAATTCTGTTAAGGAGAGGCTCTGTCATGAGTCTGAGCACTGCTGTCTGTTCTCCATCCAAGTGGAACCTATGAATAAAAATGTGCTTAACTACGATCTGAATGTGGTGTACTAATGACCTTTTCCTTAATAAAGGGTAAGAGTCTAAACATTAAATAATTGAATTGCCTTCGCGTGCAATTATTTTACTTTATTGTTCCCACAAAACTGGCCGGCTTTGATATAATTGTTTTACAGCTAACAAAGGCAAGGTCATATTAGCAAATGTGTTCCTTTTTCATATCACTGGAATTATAATATGAGAACTACAGATATATAAAAAGATCATTTTACTGTCACACTATAGACTAGTTCAAGGGTAATCAGGCATATTTCAATCCACTAAATCTTAATTTTGAGGGAATCCAAAGTTACCAGACAATCAAAATTTGATGCAAAAGCAAAACCTAACTTGTGTTAGCTCTGCTGCATCGTTACAATGGAAAATGCTGTAGTTAAAAGTCCTGTGGAAGATTTCAATAAACTTTGGCCAGACACAGAAAGCTGTGTTTTATGAAGCTAGGCCACTGGTCTGTCTAGTTCAGTACTGACTATATCAGGCATAGGCAAACTCGGCCCTCCAAATGTTTTGGGACTACAATTCCCATCATCCCTGACCTCTGGTCCTGTTAGCTAGGGATCATGGGAGTTGTAGTCCCCAAAACACCTGGAGGGCCGAGTTTGCCTATGCCTGAAGTGTATCTACTTGCAGCAGCTCTCCAGGGCTTCAGTTTTCAACAAGAGCCCAACCTGGAGATGCTGAGAATTGAGCTTCAGGCCTTTTGCATGTAATTAATGTTCTCTACCACTGAGTGATGGACCTTTCTGAGCTCAACCACCATAGTTTCACCTGCTTATTTTCAAGCAAACCTTGAGTACACAATAGTCAGGTACAAAATACCTGGCCAGGTGTTCAGTGCATTTATGGAGGGGCCTATGCTGCCCCATACATCTTAAAAAGCCAGACAGTTTGATCATATTACACCAATCCTTGTTCAACTGCACTGGCTACCAGTTAGTTTCTGGGCCCAATTCAAAGTGATGGTTTTGACCTATAAAGCCTTAAACAACTCAGGACCACAATACCTCAAGAACCGCCTCTTTCCATATGAACCTACCCAGACCCTGAGATCATCTTCTGAGGCCCTTCTTCGTGGTATGTCCCAAGGAGGACCTTACGGTCTTCAAATAAAAACATATTGGAGATCCCAGGCCACAGGGAGGTCAGGCTGGCCTCGACCAGAGCCAGTGCTTTTTCGGCTGTGGCCCTGATCTGGTGAAACACTCTGTCACAAGAGACTAGGGCCCTGCAGGACTTGACATATTTTTGCAGGGCCTGCAAGACAGAGCTGTTCCACCAGGCCTTTGGCCAAGGCACAGTCTGACTCCCTCCTTCTGTAATCCTCATAGAACTCTAGCCCAATGGTTGCCATTAATTTGAATCTGAATTGATTTTAGAATGAATTGATTTTAGAATGTATTTTAATTGACTGTGCGATTTTATGTACACTGTGCTGTTTTTACTTGTTGTTAGCCGCTCTGAGCCTGGCTTTGGCTGGGGAGGGCGGGATACAAATAAATAATAATAATAATAATAATAATAATAATTACATGCATATAATTCAGTTGCATTTTACCAATCCCACACCTGATAGCCTATATGATATCAGATTTGGATCCCTGATCATGCAAGTGTCCTGAACCTTATGCACATACAAAGAGAGAGCTAAGCAGGGCTCCCCACTGCATATTTGTCACAACACACACACAAATGTTGAGGGGATAGGGCTGGTGGGACATGCAGTAAGGGCAGTAGGAACAGCAGCTGTGGTCCACTCCCTCTGCAAGCAGAGAATCTATATGTAAAGAAGGGCTTCAACTTCCTGGGTTTAGAGCCAATTCTTAAAATCTTCAGATTCCATTTGTAGAAAAATACTGAAATCTTTCTCTCTGTATCCTCTTTCTTTGGAATTGTGCCCTATCTATTTTATTTTGCATTCTCTGCATTCTCTGCAATACAATGTGACATGCTGCTACTAGATAACTGTTTTAATTACTTTTTAATTTAGAGCCAGGCATATAAATCCCTATAGCAATAGGATAGCACAAATAATTTAAAGGCAATTAAATGAAGCAAGCTTTGGATTCTTGGATGATACTACAACTTTTTTTTTTTATAAAAGCTGTCTGTAATTAGACTTTGTTTGGTTCTTCTATTTAATCAAAATTCACTTAAACCTCCTTGAGGAGATTTGATATTCCCTACTAAGCTCAGTGCTGAATAACAAGCACAGACAATTGCCAAAAGAATGATTGGAAACATTTATTTTATTTATAATGTGATTTTGTTCGAATAAGTTGGAAAACAAAATTGACTATAAAAAAGGTCTCTGAATAATGAAGGAGGGCGAGGGGAAAATCTAATGCCAATTGCCTAAACTGCTTGAGAATGGCAGGGAGAATCATCTTAGGGGACAGAATGTAGCTCAGTGGAAGAGCTGACAGTTTGCATGTAAAACCACAGGAAATTTTAAGCTACTGCCGAGTGAGTCCTCTTACCCAGAATTTCCACCTCCTCATTTCCCAGGATATTAGCCATAAAAATATTTAGGCATACTCCAAGTCCCCCTTCTTTCTGCACTGAAGGCAGTGGTGGAAGCCAGGAAGACAGAAACATCTAGTGTGTCATGGGGGAAGCCTGGAAAGGAAAGAATTCCCAGGAAAAGGAATCATCAGCTAGCTAAGGAACTGCATAAGGCAGGCGTGTAGATCATTAGCAGAAAGGGGCTGTGGGAGCATAAGTCCCAATGCCGACTGATGATGGGAGAGCAGTGGTTTTTTGGCCTGGCATTTCATCCTTTACATGCACACACTCCTTGCTTGGCATGTGTAAAGAGAGGCAAGGTCTGGATCACAGCCTCAATGTGAATACTGTACCAATTAGAAATAAGTGTCAAGTTACCTAATCAATCAAACATAGAATCATCAAAGTGTAGAGTGATGGTTTTCCAGTCCAATCCCCTGCAATGCAGGAATAATTTGCCCAAGGTGGGGCTCACAACCCACAACCCTGAGATTAAGAATCTCATGCTGTAGCAACGGAGCTATCCCAGCAAACATGTTTAAAAAGATAAAGGGACCCCTGACCATTAGGTCCAGTCGTGGCTGACTCTGGGGTTGCGGCGCTCATCTCGCTTTATTGGCTGAGGGAGCTGGCGTACAGCTTCCGGGTCATGTAGCCAGCATGACTAAGCCGCTTCTGGCAAACCAGAGCAGCGCACGGAAACGCCGTTTACCTTCCCACCGGAGCGGTACTTATTTATTTACTTGCACTTTGATGTGCTTTTGAACTGCTAGGTTGGCAGGAGCAGGGACCGAGCAACGGGAGCTCACCCCGTCGTGGGGATTTGAACCGCCGACCTTCTGATCAGCAAGTCCTAGGCTCTGTGGCTTAACCCACAGCGCCACCCGCTTCCCTCATGTTTATTTGAACTTAAATATGTGAGTCAGCTTCATCTAACACAGGATAGGCAAGTGTGGCCTTTCAGGAGCTGCTGGACTACGACTCCCATCTTTCTTGACCATCGGCCATGCCAGCTGGGGTTGTTGGAAACTGGAGTACAACAACAACTGCAGGGCCTCAGGTTCCCCCATCTAATGGTTTCTTATCCTTCATCTAGAAAGTACAGTCATATCTCAGGTTGCAAACGTGATTCATGCGGGAGGCACGTTCGCAACCCACAGTGTTTGCAGCCTGAACACATGCGTGAAACAATTTGGCACTTTGGCATGCGTGTGATGTCATTTTGTGCTTCTGCGTGAGCATCGAAACCCAGAAGTAACCCATTCCAGTACTTCCGGGTTTGGCGCGGTCCACAACCCAAACACGTGCAACCTGCAGCGTTCGTAACCCGAGGTATGACTGTATGTGGAATTCTGCTTTCTTTCTTACATAGTTATGAAAAGCACCTCAAAACTAAATTTATCATGAAGCTCTGACTTTACTATAAATTTAACATTAAACCAAATTCACAATTTTTGCAAATCTTGTCCACTCTGGAGATACCTACTGTGTATACTGTTGTTAACTGACATAACGCTGCACAACCTTATAAAGTTTTGGCACCAAGCTAAGACCACATTTTCTAAGAATCGGCTTTTTCAATTAAAATAAAAAAGTAAAAATTTTCTGGGTAACCACTTATTCAAAATGCTAAAAGAACAATTGTACAACATTGTACAATTACAACTTTTTGGAAGAGCCAGAACAAAAAATAATTCTACTAAGTCTTCCTTCAGCTAAAAGACATCACATTTTGAAGGCCAGTGCAAAAAGATACAGCAGGTCTTCAGGGCCTTCCCACAAACATACAGTGTGGGAACTTGCTGCAGGTCCAATAGAATGGAACAGATCTCCCCACCCACAGCACCTCCATCTTCTTGGATTTAACCAATCTTCACATGAGTTTTCAGCTGGGTCCATCATGGTTATTACCCCATCACCAACACTGCACAAAAAAATCTCTGAAAACAGCAGCTTTTATCAGACATTTGACAACACACAGCCAGAAGGAAGGTGGTCATGATTTAGGTGTAAAGTTTGGAACCAGGGACATTTATTTATTTATTTATTTATTTATTTATTTAGTGCAGGTCACCTGGGGGAAAGGAGAGCATTGCAATGGTACCAACATTCATAATGGGGTGGCTATGACAGAGAACTCAAAACCCACTCCCATTACGATCTGAGCCTGCAATTTCACTGGCATCTATTAATTCAACAGGTTGCTGTTAATTCAACAAGTTAGTTATATTAGAAGTGGAAAAGGACTTCCTTTGCTTTGTCCTGAAAGTGCAGCCCATTGCTCTCACTGTTTGGACAGACAGAATAATTTCTTCTCTATTCACCTTGTCCACAGCACTCATTGTTTTATAAATCTCTATCATATCTCCTCTGTCAGCTTTTCCCTTCCTCTAAAGAACCTCGACTTCTTAAGCCTTTCTTCATAAAGACCTTCCACCCTCTCAATCACTCTGTCATCCTCCTCAACAATATAACATTTGAGATGGAGAGTGGAAAGAGCTCCTCGCATTGTTCTAAATATAGCTGCACCATAGATTTATTTAATGGTATTATACTTTCTGCTTTATTTCCACTTGCTTACCTCATGCATGTATGACCACAGTTAGAATTCATTGTTTCTATGCGCACTACTACTGGAGATGACTGACTTCTAGAAACAATGTGAGCTGGGAGAGCTCACAGAAATGTATACAAGGAAGTGTAGCCTTGGGGAACTCTAAACCAGGCCAGCCCCATAATTTACATTATTTCAGGGTGTCACCCCTTCAGTAGATTTTTTTTTTTTGCATTGTTTTAAGGAAAGTGTCAGGAATGCCAGATGATGTTTCATGAGCCCCTTCATAGGTGTAGATTTCACATCCTCAAAATTGTAGGGTGGCTGCTTAAACAGCACCAAAAATGAAGAAATGCATCACATACATGCACAAAAGCACACAGATACGCATAAACGTTAAGTACAGTTTAGGCAATTTTAAAAAATCATTTCCATACAGTGGTACCTCGGGTTACATACGCTTCAGGTTACATACGCTTCAGGTTACAGAGTCCGCTAACCCAGAAATAGTGCTTCAGGTTAAGAACTTTGCTTCAGGATGAGAACAGAAATGCTCCGGCGGCGCGGCAGCAGCGGGAGGCCCCATTAGCTAAAGTGGTGCTTCAGGTTAAGAACAGTTTCAGGTTAAGTACGGACCTCCGGAACAAATTAAGTACTTAACCTGAGGTATCACTGTAATTTAAATAGAAATGCAACAGAAATGCAAAATTCTGGTGAGGTGACCTATGGATCTATTCAGTCTGCTGTCCAAGTGCTAATGAGCAACTACAAGGGTCCTGTTCACTCTGCCTTCTTATGGTTCTTCATCATTACCTGGAATGAACCTTCAAACAGAAGACTGTCCTCTGTAAAGCAGGACACATTCCTATCCTTTGTATTTGCCATGAGCAGAGAGGCAAGGTGAGTGGTGCTGATTACAGTAATGGGAACTACACAAATGGACTTCAAATGGTGGGTCAGAACCCACTACTGGAACACAAGAGCAGAACTGCCACGATGTGAATATATGGTGAAAACTTATTAAGAAATGGGCCTCTAAATGCATGTTTGGGTTAAAAGTTGATCTCGGCCTGAAAAGACTGAAGACTATTGAGCTAGACCCTGTTGCTAGTCCCCTGAACTATTTAATTTGCCTAGCTTTGATCATAACTATAGTATATGCTTTCCTAGGGATCTCCTCCAGGCTTACAAAGAGATTGGAAAATAATGCTCATTATTTATTTGCATTTGCACAGTGTTAATTAAATCTACATATCAATATTTATTTTCCTGTGATTTTAATAATTCCATACACTTGCAAATAATTTTTTTTAAAGCTCTTTTGAAAGGTTGAAAGATGTGATTTGGCAACGACTTCATACTTTTGTAACACTTTCTTTTCAAAAAGTTACAAAAATTAATTAAATGCAATTAACACAGATTAAACATTTCAGTTGTGATTAAAGTTGACAATTATAGTACATAATTAACAATACCAGAGGGAACAGGGATAAAGGGGGTATTTTAAAAGAACAATGTAAGTACAGAAATGACATGTGTGATACTTATCTTAAGCAAGCAGATTTAGGAATTTCTTGTAATAGCTGGCAAGATTTAGGAGAGTTTATTCTAAGTCAGAAGGATAGGGAGGAATAAATTATCTATCTTTGCTGGACACCCCTAACAACAGTAATGTTAGTCAGCAACATTTAACAACAACTACAAGGATAATAGAACAAAATGACATTTCCATGGATCAATTCTTGTTCTCCATTTTCCAACCAGCTTCTAGTATGCTGGAATAATTACTGAGAATATGAGCGAAACATTCAGTATCAGTGTAATTGAATCACCTTTTTTCAATTAAACCCTCAAGATTCTTTTTTTTACAAACTATAAAAACTGATATGCTTCTTGCATAATTAATGTTATTAAGCTGATTTAATTACTGAGTGATTTAATTATCTAAATTCAATCACCAGCTTTTGCAAATTAATTTCATTCAAATAAGAGTTGATAGAGGCTGTGAATCATAATGTGAAAATATGAACCTGCACAGAAGTGAATTGATGTCTGCCTACCTTCTCCATTCTTCCTTTCTTCAGCTAGAGGCAAAAGCTGAAGGGAATCCGTGTGAGTCAATCAAATGCGGGCAGACTTGCATAGAGGTCTACATGCACATGTTTCTCCTCTGCTACTACCCATCTGTGAAGAGGATTAATGAAGAGAGTTAAAGATCTCCTGGAAGTCAGAGGTCAAGGGGTAAAAGCCAGCAAGGATGCTCCCATTGTGGATGGGTCCAGTGGGCATTGCGCATTGAACAAGTGGAAGGAAACCTACAAAAAGGACTATGCTTACCTTGACTGTCAACATCACAGTTGTCATACCATAGGCAGGGTTTTAAGGGACCAGTTCTGTAAGCAGTGATGGATGTTGGTCTTCAACATTTCAGAGGTGCCTTGTACGAGGCTAAAATTTGGTGCCCCCGGGGGGGATTCTTGCTTTCTGTTCTGCTCCATTCACTATGTTAATCGCTGTGAAGCTCCGCAGCACCCTCAAGTGTCGGCATCCACTTCCAAGGAACCGGTCGCACCCCCCAAAATCCACCTCTGTTGTGATGCCTCAAAAAAAGTGCAGATCTGTACCCAAGGGTTGGCAAAACTGGCACCTGCTGGCCGCACAGATCCAAAGGGGTTGGGAAAGTCAGACCAGAAATCTGCCACAAGTTATCTGGGTAAGGTTGTGAGTTTATATAAGAGCTAGGAGCTGAGCAGCAGGGGAAATGGCAATGTGGGATGAAGGTAGACTGCTGGTGACTATGGATTGTATAATGTGTATGTGTGTGGTGGCCCAATGCCACTGTCGCAGAGGGATCAAATGGAGGAGAACTGCCCGTCATTCTTGTACTATGTCACATGTGAATTTCTTTGTCCTTCCCCCTTGCATTTCCCTCACTCCAGATGCTGTGAATATTTGGGTTGCATAAAATATAATAAT